ACTATTATCTCTTTTTACTATATATACTTCACATATACATACATTTTGTTTAAGTGAATAATGTAAATGTGTGTTTTTTACTTTGGTGCTATTGTTGTCTTTCTTGCATTGTCCATTATCCCACCCGTCCTTGACAAATAAAAAATAAATAAATAATTTAAATTTTTATGTATATAATTAGTAATGATTGCTAATAATAAATAGTTTATTCCTCAATTCTTATTTTAGGTATTGGTTTCTTTTAGAGAGATGAAATGTGGCTCACAACCAAATGGATGGAATTTGGCAACATAACCTTCTTTAGTTACAGCGGGCACAAATCTCAAGAGCTATAGGTAAGGGCTTTTCAATTTCTTGCACACTTAGCGGACTAATATCTCATTCATTTCAACTCTGATTTAAAAAAAATTGGATTAGAAAAACCATATTAATTTAAATTTTCAAAGAAATTTTGAAGAAGACTACGTTGAGTATGTACAACAACATCAAAGAAAATAGTAGTTAGGTAACAACCTATCTTTACTGTTCTATTATTTTTAACTTCAAGTTCATCCATTCGAGAGAAAACAACGTACCTACTAAAATATAAAGTTTTTTTTTACCAAATAGTATCTCAATTGTTGTTATTTTATAGGTTCGGGATTTATGGGGAGTTGTAGACAACATTGTTTAATGAAATGTTACTGTTCGATATCGCGAGGCAACTGAATTTTTTGTAATGTTTATTGAGAAACTATTATAAGATAGTGACAAAATGAGAGAACTTTCACCTCCTCATCTCATACAATTTGAGAGCATGAAGTCAAATTTTCATATCAACCTCACCTATTACAACATCACGAACTCTATAAGCGGATACACAACTTTGAAGATAATGAAGGATGAAGAAAAGTAATCTCTTACAAAGTTCATGACATGTACTGGGTAAATTTAAGTTCTTGAAAATTGAGTTTTAACCATTCCAAACATTTTGCGTTTGGATTTTTGCATTAAGTGAAATGGAGGAGAAGAAGGAAGAGTATGCTAATAGTAGAGGCAGTGAATTCATTGATGGAGATAGAAACGTTATTGAGATATATAAATTTTAATGATGGGGCGAAAGAGCGAATGATTGATAATATTTATGATTTGGATGATGTGAAATTCTACTATCATGAAAAGATGTTTCATAGTTTCAAACATTTCCCCCTTAAAATTTAGTTGGTAATGAAATGCAAAAGAAGGACGAGACTATTGATGATGAATATAAAATCTCTTCAATTTGAAGCTCTGTGGAGAAGATGCTTTTAATAGCGGAGCAATAAAAAAGAAATCTAAAAGGAAATTTTGAAGTAATTTCTAACAACAAAGAGAATATTGAAATGTGTTTTGAATATTAAATTTTTTAGGAATCGGTTACTTGCATGAGTTTTGTTGTTTACTTTTGGTAAGGACTTTTGTATATGAATGTCAAAATGTTGTAAAACTTATTATGTATATTATTTTTAGATATTTTAAATAATTAAATAATTAGTTTTCTTTTGTTGTACCAAATAAATAATTGGGATAATTACTCTTATTATTTATACTATTGATGTGATTCATCCGGCCAACGGACGGGCACACAAATCTAGTCATGGGTCCGGCCGGTTGGCCGGTTTCATTTCTGAATTCCGTAAATACTAAATACGTAGCAATGTTGGGTTCATTGGCGAATTGTGTTAATACAAAATAGGGGTAGCATGAGTTTCGCGTGTTTTGTTTGTTGTCAATAATCTAGATTGCTGAAATTATCGAATAATGGAAAAGCCTAGCTCACAGCAAGTTCCATGGAGGTCTTGGATTCAGGGACTTTGAAGCCTTCAATCAAGCGTTGTTAGCTAAACAATGTTGGAGAATATGGACCAATCCAAATTCATTAATCTCCCAAATATATAAGGGTCGATACTTTACCCAATGCTCGGTGTTGGAAGCATCAATTGGGTCAAACCCCTCGTGGGGGTGGAGAAGTCTACTCTTTGGAAGAGATCTGCTCCTACAGGGACTAAGATGGAAAATAGGCAATGGGCATAGAACCCGAGCATTCATTGATAAATGGGTTCCGGAAGATAAACCCTTAATCCCAAGTACTCGGCCCCATATTCAAAATGGATCACCTATGGTATCTTATTTCATAAAAGAAGGACGAGGGGAATGAGACGTTTCAAAACTCGAGAATTGCTTTGAACCTTAATTTGTTGATCTCATAAGGAAAATTCCTCTTCCTCGATACTCACAGCAGGAAATTAGAGTGTGGCATTATTCCAAAGATGGAAAATACACAGTAAAATCGGGCTATCACTTAGCTCTGGAAATAACATTGGCATAAAGTCGAAAACCGATAGCGCATATCATTGATCCTCCAATTTGGAAAAAGACTTGGAACATCCAAGTTCCGCCTAAACTCAAGTTCTTCATATGGCAATGCCTCAAAGTCATACTACCAACAGTAGTTGCCCTTCAATCTCGTGGAGTAAACTGCCTTAAACGATGTCCTGTCTGCTGGAGACATAGAGAAAGTATTGAACATTTATTCTTTAGATGCCCCCTAGCCATCAGATTGTGGACTTTAGTGGGATTGAGCAACTTTATAGAGACCGCCCAGACTGTTAACTTTAGTCTATGGTGGCGACATCGACATGTCATGGTCTCCGAGACCTCCCCATTCCACATTCTCCAATGCGTTTATTTACTTTGGAGAATCTGGAAGTCTAGAAATGAAGTGACTTTTGAATTTACCCAACCTCATGTCCGTTCCCTAGCCAGACAGTTCTACAACCAGGTCCTCAAATTCTCCAGTATGCTTCCCCCCCTTCCTCCCCGCAGCTCTCCACCACCAATCATACCTGCCTCCACTTGGGTCCCTCCTCCAGAAGGTTTTTTGAAGATAAACGTCGACGCAACCGTTAGTGCCTCCGGGTGTTCGTCTGGGCTTGTTATCCGTGGGTCAGGCGGGCATGTGTTGTTGGCGTTCGGGTTGCAGCATCAAGGAATAGTCAACCCTTATCTGGCTGAGCTGCTAGCGCTCAGGGATGCTATCTCCTTTGTGGCCTCGAGATCCTTGACCCATGTGATAATAGAAGGTGATTCCGAAGTGGTAGTCAACCAAGTCCGTCAAGGTGTCTCAGAAGACTCGATTGGTGGTCCGGTGCTTCGAGAGTGTCTTCAGATCCTTAGCTCTTTGTCTGTTTGTATAAAGTTTAGGGCGGTACCTAGATCCGCCAACAGTGCTGCCCATAGAGTGGCGCGTAAAGCACTGCTTTTGTCTCTTGTAGAGCTAGAATCTTTTGATTTCTTGGGATGGCTTCTTTAGAGTCTCTTTGGGGTCTTGGGTAGAATTGTAAGATTAACTATTTTTTCTCATTGATATCACTCAGAAATAATAAAAAAATTATCGAATAGTAAAATTTCTATGTAGCGTAAAAGAGTTCAAATTATTAAAGTACTTAATCAATTTAAAATACGAACATCATAGTATGCTGGGACATTCTAACCGACTCATCCAACATAATTAATTCACGAAAAATGAACGACAAACCCTTTACCAGGGAACCAAATTCTTTAATTGTTTTGAATAACCCTTATCTTTACTCATCGTAAGTGTCGTGCTCATCCTCATCCTTCCTTTGAGGTGCTTCCATGCTTTTCGCCGGTGGATTTGGTACATCGTCGTCACTGTTATCACATGTGTGTTTAATCAGGCCGAGTTTACACCAAATCTATTGAGTACATTATGATTCAAGCTGTTGATTCTTGATGTTTTTTTTTTTTGATAATGGAGATAAATATTATTAACGAAAAGAAAAGGAACTGTACAACAATGGAGATCACTAAAAATGATCAAACCACTCAAACTCAAAATAGAAAACGAAAACAAAATGCAGGACGATGTTAAGCGAACCAGATAATTAAGCATATTAACTTAAATAACTTTCCTCTTGGCATAGAGTTAAGTTCTTCACTCAATATTATAATGCTTGGCACCCCAAAATAAAATTGCAGGGAGATTCACAATATACTAATTGAATGCTTTAGACCATGAGTATGTTTTAGTGATATTCATACAACATTTTCACCAAATATTGATGAGTTGCCATCTCTTATACTTATAAAAAAGGGGCAACAACTGCGCAAACGACTTTGTACAAGTAAGAATAGTCGTCCATTATATTAGGTTCACATTACATATCTAATCTTGATCATATAGTTTAAACATCAATTCATATATATGAATATACGATTGCATAGAATACTACCAAATCTTATAGATTTTGAATCAAGACAGAGAAAATATTTGCAGCGATTTAAAAAAGAAAATACCATTGGGTTGTTTGGCTGGTGGATTTAAAAAAGAAAATTGTCTGGATCTCTAAAAAAAAGGCTCATTATTTCAAAATTCTTGCTCTCTATGTCAATTCTCATAAATGCAAAATAAGACAATTCAAATTTTTTGTATCCCTATACCTCATTTTGTATTGTAAAAAGAGAAAAACATTTCAAAATAATTGGACCAAATTTCCTCGTGCCATTGTTACATCTACACACCACCACATTTATTTTCGGTGGGATCATGATTAAGATGGAATCGAATGGAGAAGATGAGAAAAAAAAAATGGTGCAAACATCATCATCATCATGAAGAATGATAGCGATGATCTCCTCATGATTTCCCATTTCTCCATTTCCTCCCACTCCTCTTCTTCCGCTTGAGTCAGTCTCACCTACTCCTCTCTAACCCACTTCTCCAACCCTTCAAAGAAAAGAAAGCAACAAACAAATCAAAAGCTCCTCCACAAGATACTCTCCACCAAAGTCTTCCCCTTTCCCCTGCAGCCACTAAATCTTTTGCTCTGCTTTTTCTTCTTCTTCCCCCCTTCTTTGCTGGTTCCCACCTTCTGCAAATTTCGTTGCTTGGCTTCGATTTCTCCCCAAAGATGGACTCTTTCAACCGACCCACCGGTCCCCGGTACCGCTACAGCCGGATGGACGACGACGGCGACGGGCTGCTGCAAATCTACGTCCACCACGCGAGGAACATCCACAACATCTGCATCTACGACAACCAAGACGTGTACGCCAAATTCTCCTTGACTTACAACCCAGATGACACCGTTTCGACCAGAATCGTCAACGGCGGCGGGAAGAACCCGGAGTTCAACCAGCGGCTGGCGATGAAGGTGGCTCAATCCGACGCCGTGTTGAAATGCGAGATCTGGATGCTGAGCAGAGCTCGGAACTTGATGGAGGATCAGCTTCTGGGTTTTGCTCTGGTCCCAATTTCAGGGGTTGTTGGGAAAGGGCAGGTGTCAGCGGATTACAGCCTGTCCTCCACCGATCTGTTTCATTCCCCTGCCGGAACAGTGAAATTGACACTCTGTTTATCGCCTTCGGCCGCCGGCGCGTCAGGGGAGAGCAGTAATTGCTCGATTTCGTCGGAGGTCGTGCTGCTGGACCGGAGGATCTCGGAAGTGGTCGCTCTGGATCCGGTGGAGTATTCGAGGATCGAATTCCCCGATATCCGAGTTGCGAAGCAGAATCAGGAGATGGTTACGGAGTATTTCCACCGGAAATTGGGATCTTTCCTCCATCTCGGGAACTCCCCTGTTTTTCATGATTGCGAAATGACCTCCGCCGACGGTGGTTCGATTTCTCCCGCCGACAGCGTTCACGTCTCGTCTGGGTTTCTTAGCTCTACCACGACGAGCTTGAGCGACGATAGGAATTCATCGGATTCGAAGGACAAGAAGGGAGGTAACGGCGGCGGAGGAGGGCGATCGTCGTCGTCGGCGTACCTAAACGTCTCTGTTTCCGGCGAAGGTAACCAGAGCTCGTCCTCCTCCGGCGGGTGCCCCGACACCCCGACGTCGAGGAAAGGGAGCGAAATCAGGGACCGGAAAGAAGGCAGAGAAGAGGGGAACGGGAATTCGATCGACGGAGGGGGGAAATACGGGAAAGTTGGTCCGCCGGCGCTGGTGCCGGACATGAATTTGGAGGCAGAGCAGTCGGCGATGCAGCAGCAGATAGTGGATATGTACATGAGAAGTATGCAGCAGTTCACCGAGTCACTCGCCAAGATGAAGCTTCCGATGGATCTGGACAAACCCAGAAGCGCCGGCGGCGGCGATTTGAGTCAATCACAACATGAGAACGGTGATCGTAAAATGATGGAGGATTTCGATCCTCCGCAGCAGCAGGAGCAGCAGCAGAAGAAGAAAAAGGATGGATCACGGGTGTTTTACGGGAGCCGAGCATTCTTCTAACACAGTAACTTAAACTGCTCTGAATTGCAAGGAGCTTATTTCCTGTTTGGTATTTTTTTTTTGAGCGATTAACTTTTTGTTTTCCTCATTGTTGTTGATGATTAACTAAAAATATCATGAATGTGTTGAATTGATTGTTTGATTAGATGAAAGTTTGGAGCTTTACCTTTTCATGGTGAAAGGGAAAACCGTACCTTTTGGTGGTTGTTTGCTTGTTGTGCGTCAATTGAGCTGCATCGTGATCATCTTGTTGTTCATGGAGGTAAAACATGTTGTCTCGTTTGGACTTGGTACAAATGTTTGGGGATATAGTAACAAGTATTAATATGGAACTTGGAAGAAGATAGATAAACAAGGGGAGTTCATAGAGCACTATGACGGATTTCGCCAAATTCTGTCTCATTCTTAATTCGTAAAATCTATACACTTTTCATTTTCTTTTGGATGGAAGGTTCTTATAATTATTCTACTTTGGCGATTTTCGAATATCTGTGGATAATATTTTCTCAAGAACTTTGAACCAAGCTCATGATACAACTAATATGATTAAGACATTAAGTTGAAAACACATGCAATTTTAGAGCAATAAAAGACTAAATACTCGGGGGTAGGGTAATTGGAGATAAAATGTGACACGTATGTATTAATGAAACTAAAAAGTGAAATGAAGGTTACGAGTGTCATATTATTTTAAATTTTTGTGGAAGGTTGGAGGAGAGATATCAGATTAATGTAATTGGGTGTAGGTATTATATGAATTACACGTGAAACGGCTATGTATATGAAAATGAAGCGTGAACACTTAAACTCATCTCCACAATTTTTTTGTGTGTGCGTATTATCCATATTTGTTCTATACCCAGCCAATACGAAAATTTCCTTCCTTAATGGAGTTGAGGACGGACCCGGTTATACTTACAATGCCATCCCTACGTTGGTGTAACGCTGATTGCCATGTTGCACGTTTAAAAAATATTGGGTATGTAACCCTTCGTGACTTCCAAAGGACTTCTAGTTCTTGGAGTTCAAATATTAAACTGGAAAATGTTGGAACCAGGGTCAGAAACGTAATCTTCACCTGTTTGTGCCACAACAAAGCCCAGCCCATAAGTAAGGCCCGGCAGTAACCCTATCTCTCTACCTGCTTTACTCTGAGCCGAAGGATATGGACCTAAGGGCCCAGCAGTCAAATTTGAACGGTGGAAAAAGCCCATTGCATTCCACCGCATTTTCTCATCCACATATCTTCCCAACTGTTCAGGAAGAAGCCATCTGTTCAGTTTCCCCAGTCGGTCGGGACCTCCAAACGGGTCCTCTCCTCGCTCGTTCCTTCTCCATCTCTCTCTTCTCTTCCCTGTCTCTTATTTTTCTTCCTTCTTTTTTCATTTTTCTCTTCATCCTTCCTTTCTCATCTGGAATCTCTGTAGGTTTATTCGTTTAGAATCAGGGCATTTCTTTCCCTTTCTTTTTTTTCTTCTTCCTTCTTTTTGTACAAATTTCTGAGATTAGGGTAGGATTTAGAACACAGATCAGATATATAGGAGGAAACGAAAACCAAACAAAAACTCTTTTTTTTGTTTTGTTTATTTGTTGGTACTTCTCTCTGGTTTATCGACCATGTCTTCAGCTGTCACCTTCAGCGTCAACGCCGAGCAGTTGGTTGGAGCTCTGGACTGCGTCTCGATTGTGGATCAGGTATGTTTCAAATCTCCCCGTATCTGTATTTCTTTATGGCTTTTTGAGTAATTCCATTTGGTGGAAAATATCCGGGTTTTGTTCCTGGGTTGCCGATCTCTTGATCTGGGTATGTGAGAAGAGGCGGTGAATTAGTTGGGTTCTCGTCTTTGTTGGTTGGCTGCGGTGAATCGGAGTTGTATGGATATGATTGTGTTTTTTTGCTTGTGATATTTGATTTCTGGGCGGTGTGGAATTATTGATTTGGGGCTTTTGGATTACAGGGAGAGGTAGATGCTAAGTTTGGGTCAAATGGGAAGAAGGCCTGTGGGAATCATGGTGGGAATTGTGCGATTTGCTTGGATGAGATTGTGCTCGAGGAAACTGCCCTCATTAAGGGGTGTGAGCATGCTTACTGGTTAGTATGATCAGCATTCTGCCTCTTTGGCCTTCCAATTCAGTAGGTCTTGAGCATGATTCTTGCCTATGATTCACCATTTGAATATTCTGGCTCTATCATATGAAATATGGATGACTATAATAGTAACTTAATAGCCTTTGCCAGTTTTCTCTTTGCATTATAGATCTTCTCTGTTTATAATTAGTTCCTCTGTCAAAGCATCACAGCTGTTTTGTTGATTGTCTCTTGTCTCTTCTCTTTCGGGACTTTCTCTTGTGATCACTTTCATCTATGCTATGTGGCGTACCTTGTAACTCATGTTGAGGAGTATAGATTAAAACATCATCATTGATATCCTGTCGCCTTTACGAATGATGGTTTTGAAATTGTTCTGATCAGGTTGGTGGCATGAGGTACGTTAATTTTTAATCTGTATTGCAAGTTGAAACTGCTAGAAACTTAATCTCTCATTTTAGTTGCATGGATTTGCGAGAATGGCTTACCATGGATCATATTTCCTAGCAAATTTTTTCTCAGCTTTTATTTCTTTGGCCACATTTGTGTATGATTGCATTTTCTGAGCTTTCAAGCTAACAAACCGATGAAGTTGGTTGAGAGGAACTCATCTCCTATTCGATAATATGGCACCATTACCGATACCTCATGCAATCTTCAACAATGAATATAATCATATACAATCCCTCCAACTGGGGCATTTTTTGTATTTGTAGCTCTCTTTTGTATTATTTTGAAGCCAACAGGGTTAATGAATTTTCCCTTTTAACAATTTCTTGCAGTGTGACCTGCATCCTGCACTGGGCCACGTACAGTGAGAATCCAAAGTGCCCTCAGTGCAAGCATCCATTTGAATCTCTTAATGTCCACCGATCGCTCGATGGCTGGTATGTTAACTCCAAATTTCTGGCTTCTGTTACACAGGTTCTTGAAAATGGTGATTAACTTCGATTTATCTATCCTATTTTCAACAGCATCCATGATTACATGTTTGAGGAAAGCCTGTGCCTTCTACTCAGAGCCACATGGTTCAAGCCATTGGAAGTACCATCTCACCATGGCACTGCATATGAGGATCCAGATGAGTTCTTCCCGTATGACTACGTGTATGGTTACGGGTACGATTACGAGGAAGATGATATTGATGAAGCTGCTTACTACAGCGGCGGCAGTTCCTCATCGAGCAGTGTTATTAGGATTGGCAACAGAAGGTGGGGTGACAACGGGTACGTTAGAGCAGGCCGTTTAGAGGCTCGACCAGTTCATCATCGACCCAATGCCCAGGATTCCGGAGGTGCAGGTGGTTCCTCGTCATCATCTCGTGAACCGAGGAAGAAAGAGGATAAGACCGGGCGTCGTGCAAAGAGGACCCAGAAGCGGGAAGCTGCTGACAAGAAAGCTGCTGAGAAACATCAGCTGCTTCTGGCCAGGCTGGGGCGCCAGTAAACGAGAGACGCCCCTGTTGATCGTGTATCATGCTCGATACGCCAGAAAGACTGACGCTGGTTCCATTGTACAGTACTTGATCCAAGTTTCTTCGTTATTTTTAATTTTTTTCTTCGTTTAACTGAAATAATCAAGGGTGGGTGGGATAAAAGACCCATTAGGAAGGGAGGTTTAGTAGTTGGGATGGAACTGCAGGATGTACATTCCAGAAGTTTGTTGTTCATATTATGCTTGAAGTCGATATCAGTCAGGGTTTATAATTCCTGGCGACTTTCCTGGAACTGCAGGGTTAATTGTTCTTGCATTTCTCCTTTCTGTTTATTTGTATTAGTCTGTTAGCAAAGAAAATTCTGTTCTTTCCTCCAAGTTATAGACTATATTTTCAACTTCGTCGACGCAATTTTCACCTATAGAGGATTGAAAGTTTGGTACCAGTAGGGATGGCAATGGGTAGGGTCGGGTGCGGGTTTACCCTATACCAACTCCTAACCCGCCGGGTAGAGTTTTCTAAAATACCCGACTAAATAACCACCGGGTATGAAAATGATATAACCATACCCTACCCACCGGGTAACCACGGGTATTCGGGTAACCATGGATACGAATCCTAAACTATGAACTTATACACATATATGCACATATATACTGTTGTCCATTAGAAATTCTCAATACTTGTAAGTTGTAACTATTCTAGCTTCAACAATCCACACAAATAAAAACAACAAACACATAATAATTGTTCTTGCTTCTACAATCCACACAAACATAATAATCATCTACATATTCATCATCAATAATGGTAGCTAAACTCAATTTCTCAAGCTAAAATAAATTTCTCAAGGGAAATTGACCCTTTGGTTAGCGGGGCGGGTATAACGGGGCGGGTATTATCGATTACCATACCCGTACCCTACCCTTTATTTTGAAACCGGGTATTATCCGTACCCGCCCCTTAACCCGTCAAAGCGGGTAATTACCCTCGTTGACCGGTTACGGTCGGGTAGGGTACCCATGGTTACGGGTTGGATTGACATCCCTAGGTACCAGTATTTGGGATATACTGAATGCTAAATCGAATTATCACTATTTAGTGCTAGCGAGTACCGGTTTATTTTTTAGGGATTGAGATTTGGAGTACTATTCAGTATTCGAGATTACGGGATGAGATCGGTAGATAACGAAATATCGAGAAATACTGAAAATTAAAAATTATTGAAATATAACATACAACATTTGGTCATTTCTCAATGTTCCATAATTTAAAAGCTTCCATCCAACTTAATTTTGACTTTCCAGTTTAAATTACTCTCTTCACTCATCTGATCTCTTGTTATTTCTAACACACAAAAAGTAAACACTAGTATTAGTCGTCTCTCTGCCTCCAATTCCTTAATTAAAGATTATCAATAACAAGAATTTGAGATGTCACCTCTCCTCTATTCTCATTATCCATATCCTAGCGCTAGGCAAACTCAAAACTCTTTGTTTGGTCTCTTTGCCCTAAATTAAACAATCAAATCTAATTTTTATATTTAATTATTAATTACAAAGGTAATTAATTTCGTATTCGATAATGTCGATTAAGATATTGAAGTATTGATTGGAATACCGAAATATTTAGGGATTTGGATTGAGATTGAAATATCGAAATTATTTAGAAATTGGGATTGAGATTGATTTTAAGGTGTAATTCGATATTTGAGATTTCAGTATTTGCTATTGAGATACCGATACGGTACCGATTTCCAGTATAGATTTTTTTCGTGATTTCATTATATATTTTCACTCAATTGCATTAATTGAGTGTGCAAATTCCATTGATATGCCATTTTAACATTTTATCAACCCATAACTTCCTCTAATTCCAAAAACTAAGAAAAAGGAGGTTATCCTGCGTGCCCTAGGATCTCACACTTATTTTTTGCCGATGATTCTTATCTGTTCCTGCGTGGCATGCTCCAGGAATGTAACAATTTGATTGAGGTTTTAAATGAGTACGAGAAGTTGAGTGGACAACGGGTGAATTTTTAGCGAAGTCAGCGGTATGCTTCAGCAAAAATATTGAGTTGAAGGACCAAGAATTCTTAGCTGCGATACTGGGGGTGGTGGCGGTTGGGTCCATGATAAATATCTAGGCCTGCCTATCTAAAATGGAGACATTCCGGTATTTAGAGGAGAAATTGTTGGAGCGACTCCAGGGATGGAAGCAAAGAACTTTATCTTGGGCGGCTAAAGAAACGCTGATAAAGTCAATTGCTCTGGCGTTACCGTTGCATGTAATGTCCTGATTCAAGCTGCCTCTCTCTCTGTGTCGTCTCCTGGATAGACATGTCGCCCGTTTCTTGTGGGGTGCTAACGAGGGTCATTCAAAAATTCGGTGGATGTCCTGGCGTGATTTGTGTAGGAGTAAGCATGATGGTGGGATGGGATTTCGCCGATTTGAGCATTTTAACCAGGCCCTGCTTGCCAAAATTGGATGGCGTATCCTGTTTGAGCCCCAGTTCCTTCTTGCCCAAGTCTACAAAGGTAAGTATTTTCCTAATGGGCATTTCCTTCATGCTAAGGCTCGCTCCCGCCAGTCATGGGGATGGCAGAGTGTCCTGTTTGGTCGGCAGTTACTAGAGATGGGATTAAGATGAGAAATTGGGAATGGGCGATCGGCGTCTCTGCTTCATTCCACATGGATCCCTCAACTCCAGCAGGATCCCCCGCGGTATAATCCGCAGGTTTTACCGGTCAGGGTGACCCTCCAGTTGCCGAGATAATTTGTCAAGGGGAAGGGCGGCGGTGTGATCTCAAACTTAGCTAGTGGTTTGACCCACCTACTTGCCGTATTATTAAAATTATTCCCCTCCCGCGGCAAAATTTGGAGGATAGGCTCATATGGCATGATACTGCTGATGGGGTGTTTTCTGTTAAGTCTGCTTATCACTTGGCTGTCTCCCTTGATGGAAGGAGGGGTCGCTGGAAGGCTACGACTAGTTGGATAGATAAGACTAGTTGAATTCGGTTGTGGGAGGCTAATATTCCCCCCAAGTTAAAGGTGTTTGTTTGGCAGATCCTAAATAGAATCTTACCAACTACGGAAGCCCTAACTGGTAAGAAGGTCCCGGTGCTCCCTCATATCCTGGTTTGCTGGGAGAATCCAGAAGCGATGGAACATTTGTTTCTAGATTGTCCAGTGGCACGGGCCCTTTGGGGCTATTCGGGGCTGGAGTACTTAGGGGAGGGGCTTCCTCGTCATACCTTCCCTCTATTTCTTAAAAAGCTTATGGCTTTAATGCAGCAGCCGATGCTATTCATGGCATTTGTTGCCGTCCTTTGGCGGATCTGGAGGTCTCGGAACTGGGTAGTCTTTGAGGGTAAGCAGTTTGGGTTCCCTGCTTTGATGCGACAGTTCGCCCAGCAATATGAGGAATGGGTGCGGCTGCCGGTGGATAAAGCTCTTCAGGCCTCTGATCCTATGGTACAACAACCGGTAATGATGGTTCATGCTGATTTTGTTTGTATGTGGAATGGGGCTACTAGGAGCGGCTCTCATTCGGCGGGCGGGTTGGTCCTTATGACCCCTACTCGGGAAGTCCTTCTAGCTAAAGGGGTTCAATTTCCTATAAATGATGATCCCATGGCTTCACGGAAGTAAGATTTGAAGGGGATGCCAAGGTGATCATCGACAAGAATAGGCGGGCCGATACAAGGGACAACCGGTTGGTGTGCGATTCTTGATGAAGTGGTGCTGGGTTTCTCCAGCAAACCCGTGTTTAGTGTTCGATTTGTAGGTCAGAGTAGTAATAGGGTAGCTCATTTGGTGGCTAGAAAGACCCTCTCTTTGTACCCGACTATGAATCATTTTTTTATTTTCAGTCGTAACTGATCTCCAGGATGTAACTACCTATTCTTTGAATCAATACATGATTATCTTTTGTAAAAAAAAATTTACCAAAACCCAGAGGAGCTAACAGACGGTAGCGGGACAACAGAAGCCCACAATAAAAATAGCAACAAGAAGTGAAGGGTCCAGGTCCGGCCCAACCGAGAAGGAAATGACTTATTGGGTCCGACCCATACGAAAATACGGATTGTTTCCCGAGTTTGGACTTTGGACTGCTTTTCTCTTCTTTTGTTTCTTCCTTGCGGCAAACAAAAATGGCTTTCGAGAGACTGGAGTCAGAAGTCTTGCGCCTTCCCCTGCAACTAGATTGCGTTCAAAATGGCGGGAGAGTCAAATCAGCTGGAGCAGCAGTCCGACTCCGGAGTCAGCCCGTCGCCGGAGACTGTCGACGCGCTGCTTGAGGTGCGTCATCTGTTTCCATCTATATCGGCAAGTTTTTTCCTCCGTCTCAACCTGCTATCTTCAATTGAAATTAGGGTTCCCCGTTTTCGTTGTAGGCGGCTAGATACGACGATCTTGACGACATCAAAGGCTTGGTGTCGGATGGTGTTCCTCTCAATTCTAAGGATTCATTCGGAAGGACAGGTTAGTTGTGGGTCTCTGGTCGACTTGCTCTTTATGATTGTTGTACAACTTTGAATATGAGATACTCTGTTCTATGGCACGTAGTTGAGTGCATATTTGTAGACTGTACTGTTTGAATTGAGCCATGCTGAATTACTTGTCTTGTAGTAACTGGTAGGCTAATCAAAACGAAATATGGATTCTATTACTCTGCAATCTGCATTGGTATGGTGATAGAACCCTTTGTTAGAACATTTTGTGAACAGATATGTTACGCTCTTGTAGTTCAAAGGAGTTGGTATGTGAGGCATTTCGTATGGAAGGAAAGTACATTACGAGATTAGACTAACGGAGAATGCTTGACGACTACTGATTCTTGCTTCAAGATTTTGTGAACTGCTTGCATATCCAAGTGTATTTATCGTCTATCAGCAAGATGCTATGTAAAATGCGGAATGCCTGTTTCATGCCTTAGACTGACATGGCTGAATGCAGAAGTTTACAGGACTTAATAACAGTTGTCGCTGCTTCATTGTTTGTTTCTACGTACATCAAAGAATTGTTAAGAGAATTTCAATGAAATGTTGGTGCTGTTTGTCTTGCTTACTTCTACTTTTAGGAAACCTGTAGGGAGATCTTTTGGAAAGGCGAAAATGTATTTGAATAGGAGTCTGAACTTCTGATGAGCTCTGTACAGCTCTAGCAATGTTTGACTTGCTCTGATATTGGGTTGCAGCTCTTCATATGGCTGCTGCTAATGGTCATCTTCAAATCGTCAAGTATCTTATTGATCAAGGAGTGGTAGGTTCTTATCATTATCTTGAGATTATCTTCGAAGCTGATTATTGCTAAATAGAATACATCAATCTCTTTCTCCTCATTTCTTCTTTTGCTTTTGTCTACTTATTAACTCTGCATCAGATTCCGGTCTAAAGAAATCTCCGCACTGATTGAATACTTAGTTTTGGTATAGACTATCTATGACAGTACTCTTAATCTCACGACGCGAACCATCACCAATGACCAGACAATAGTTTCTTTCAAACATCATGCGCTGTGATCCTAGTTCTTGTCATCAATTGTCTATAACAGCTGAATTCATGGCATGGTTCCTTGCTTTGGCAAAAAAATTTGCCTTCATCTCCAACCATATCTCAATTTCCTTATCATAGTAAATTTCATTCCTTGAATTTGGGTTTTCGAAGAAATCATGTTTAGTTGCAGACACTTTTTCCATGCAGGATGTTAATGCTTCCAACGAGGAGAAGAATACAGCCCTTCATTGGGCTTGCCTGAATGGCCACAGCGAGGTAATCAATTGGCATTGCCCATCACTACATGCCATCGTCTTCCTATTTTTGCATATTCTTATGCATTCTAATTACAGGTTGTGAAGAAGCTGATCTTGGCTGGAGCTAGTTTATGCAGTCTCAACAGGTTTAGTCTCTTACTCGCTTGTTTGTTTATCAATTCAAGGCCCTCTCCTAATGTGTGTCTCCTTGTGAACCAATCATCAGCCATGAGAGGACTCCCATGGACGAAGCTGTTACCCGGGGCAAAATGGACGTTGTCGATTCGATTAATGAGGCTGTAGCACAACGGGAGCTATCTGGTGTCGCAGTTTCCTGAAGGCACGAGTCCTTTTCTCTCGTATTACAGCCAAAGCATGTTTAACAGAGTTGCAGCAACTTAATTTAGATACTTTGTTCGTTTCCATGGCTGTGCGATGTTACATTAGTTTTAATCATATGTTGGTGGACTTTTGGCCACAACCATCAGGCGTAGAATATCAGCGAAGCATTGCATCAATAGGTTCCCTGTTGGCTTCAAGGGCATTTTGGCGCGCTTTTTGTCGCTGAATTTTCTCTTTGTAGCAATTTTGTCAAATACACTAGTATTGTATTTGGTGCTTCTTGGTAACCTAAACGTCGAAATGCAGCATCACCAAATGGAAAAGGTAATAATGTTTCCGGTACATAATCGTTGTTGATCGACAAAGTAGGATTGTTGAGTATTTAATCATTTGGTCACTCCAAGTATGCGTTCATGATCATATAGTTGTTCACTGTCAACCGGATGGGAATCCTATGTGCTATATTCAGAACCTTGTTTAAGAAATGCGCAAAATGATCCATAGTTGAACCCTTTTACTAGTTGATTAGAAATCCTTGTTGGACGAGGATTTGTGATTAGACTTGAAAATCCGAGTCTAATTCTAAGAGAGAGAGAAACTTGGGTTACCAACCGCCAATCGAAGAGCTTCTGGTTAATTTCTTTCACGAACATTTATATGCGTTATTTGTTACTGTCTCTTTTTATAATAATCCACATATAATTGTCAATGCCGTCGAGCAAGGTTGCAGAGAAATTTCTCAAAAATATAATACGAGATATCTTATGATTGATTAGCTCTCTTGAAATAGTACAGAATCGTTAAAGGCACCCCTAAATAGTCTCCTCATACTTCGGGCGCTTAAGTAGAGGACAAAATCATCAGTTTGAAAATGTGTGGAAAATTGACCATCATCTCTTAGCTAGAAATGATGATCGATTTTCACATCCGAATCAAACCCACAACGTTAAGGAGTTCGCCTAGTAAACATCTATTATACCCTGAGTTCGAACCTTGAGATCAACAATCAACGAAAAAGAATCAAACCCCACAACACGATTGATAATATAATGATACATAAAAACTAAAGACACATGGAGGTGGTAATGACTCAGGTCATGGTCAAATAAATGAAATCTTCAACAATCTCTTCTGGAGAAGAAGAAAAAAAATTAGATGAAAGGGATGAATCAAGAACCCTTCAAGCAGATGATTGAGGCAGTCGGCGGTTTCTTCAAGGATCAGCCAACTGCTCTATTAAGATATTTTCTAATTATCCATTTGTATTATATGTAACTTAATTAGTTTAAAATATCAGCTGCTGATAAAATCAATGCATGGCCATATCGGTATAGTTTGGTATCTGTCATTGTTAATGTAGTCGTTACTTGTTAGAGTAACTCGCCTGTCTGTATATATACAGAAATCGTTAATAATATTGTCACATGGCCAATTTGACGAATAAAAGACTCACAAGACACAAATGTTGGATATGGCCACTGATCCACCACTTGAAATTGCAGCGCAATTAAATTAGTCAACGCGTTATGTTTTCCTTGTTTGTTTCAAAATTGTTCCAATAATCAACTTTTTGAGCTCGATTGTTATGCACTTATGCACTTATGCTTATAGTTATCGGAATGTGTAGTTTGAATATAATGATACAAATTCAATTTGTATCTATATATTTTTCGTAAAAAAACTTTCCATTATACAAATTAAATTTTTATACGTAACATTATAGAACAAATTCAGTTTGTAACCATACATTTTTTTAATAAATTTATTTATAATACAAAGTGAATTTGTACTTCCATAGTATATGTGCTTATGAGTATTATAAAATTCCTCTCAGCTTTTATATATATCAACAAATTGTTCGGTTCATTTATGACATTTTTTCCCCTTTGCTTTTTATTCATGGTCGAAGAAAGGATTTGCATAAACATTGTTATTCGATTTCATCTCACAAATAAGACAACGTAGTGTTCGCCTTTGACAATAATGATGATGTGCATGCACAATATCATCTCAGCGAATCTTGTTGAAAGGGTAATTTTGAATCTATACACTTGTTGACATTAGCTTGATAGTACGATCCGATTGTACGTACGTAATGAGAGGAATTCGTAGCTAAAATGATAATTTTTACGAATATGATTTTACCCTCCCGTATATAAATGTCAGTACTAATTAAAAAACGTTGAATTATGAACGAGCCAAATCAAATCTTGCCATCTGATATCCTACACATTCTGTTTTTTTATGCATCATGATCAGAAACCTCTTAGGTAGCTTCCTCGTCAGATTATCGTATATTCATCGACATGCATGCAGCAAATCGACATGCAAAGCACGTACAAAATTAAACTTCAATTTCTCTAACCTCCCCTCTCCTGCTTCGTATACAGTAACAGTATATATGCGCAGTGGCGTGCAATTTGTCAACGGGAGCAACAATTTCAAATTTATTGCACGAATTTGTATTTTCGGAGTGCTTATTACTATTGGAACACAAATTAGCGTACACTAGGTTATCTTCGAATCCCACTAAACCATATTAATTCCTAGCTACGCCTGTACGCCACCCGATGCAAATGCTATGTAGATCCCCTAATGTCGTCTTAATTAAACTCATGTTCGATAATCTTTGGATGCTTAGATTTCCAAAATTCGAGATATTATATAGTTTTTTTTTATATGAGTTAGATTTCACCCCGGTCCAAAAGGTTTTCAAAATTGCTTATATATGTGTATGAGTAGTAAAATTTTAAATATGAAAATTAGTTATTTTGAAGTTTATGTTGTTTATACTTAACATAATATAATTTTGTTAGATATTTATGATAACTTTCATGATCTATATAAATTTACGTTTTTACGTTTGAATTGGTTAGAGACTTCAAGTGCGATTGTTAAGTTGTACGAAATCTAACTGTCGAGCACTTCTACTATGTTATATAGCATTGGTGCTTTAATGTACAACTTAAAGTTGTACTATAATATTAAATATATAAGTTTAGATTGTACCATAAAGCAATTTGTACCATTATGTTATGGTACAACTTTACAACTTGAAGTTGTACCATCACGTAAAGATCCAAGTTCAAGTTGTACCATAAAAGAATTTGTACAAAAAGTATAGGTACAGTCTGAAGTTGTACCATAACATAAATATACAATTTTAAATTGTACCATAAAAGCAAAAACCCATAGCACCAATACTATATATCATTGTAAAATTTCTCCTAACCGTCAGCCAAATTAGAACTTTTTGGATAGAGCCATCAGAATCGGTCCAATCGACGGACGGTTTTACTGCATTATTGATTGTGGTACCGTTGGGAGATTATGGTCCTATATTTAGTGGACTAAAACACCATTGCAAGTTGGTGCTGTAATTATACAGTAAAGCGTCATTGTACATTGAACACGCAGATGAAGTTAATCAAAGCCTTTTTTATTTAATTTTGCCTTCTCCATTTCCAGGCAAAGACTATATGGTTGACTTTGTCTCCATTCGGATTATAGATATGGAGATAAAGTGCATGTTTTTTCTTCTTCAAGCTTCCCCACCACTTTCTCAGAAAGGGCCAAAATAAAATTGGAGAGAGAGAGAGAGAGGACGTCACCAACGCAAGATGCACACTGATTATCGACGGGGGATTTTTTCAACGACCCGCAATATTTGACTCTTCCGCCTCTCCCTTTAATTATCATCACATGGCACAATCTAGTTCTAAATTGTGTAATTAAATAACGAGCAAATTAATCAAACACCTAACATCCAAAGATCACCACACCAGTGAAGTCCCCGAATTTTGCAAAAACAGGAAAAATTCACTCCACGGACATTAATTGTGATGCACTACATAATGTAACAAATTTCACAACCTACTGATGAAAGTATATGCTTGAAGTTCGGACAAACACGTCGTCATATTTAAATATGGAATATATCTTCATCAAAGACAAACTATAGATGTGAACTCTGCAATAGAGTAATCGTATCTTTTATTGCGCATTCAATTATTTGTATCAGACACGAGATTGCTCAATCAAATACTATAATATATATACCATGTTATATGAATTGGATAGTCTGAAAAAGCTTGGTTTGCATCTATGAATGTTCTCCAAAATACCAACAACAACAACAACAACAAAAACCTTTCATTTAGAAATGTTGAGGCATAAATGTGAAGTCCCCCCAAGTTTTATGCATCTCATTGATATAAACCATAAAGATAAATGAGAAAAGGACAATGGCTGACTTTTTTCCCCCATATATTAATGGCCACTTCCTTGCAAACATTTGGATCTATCCATAATCCATCGATCTATCTTCTTCTCTCTCAAACATGGGAAACGTCAACATATCTCCAGCTTCCTGCTTCCAACTCTGTTCACCACCCAAATCCGTCTCACTCATCTTCTGGGACGGCACAACCACCGCCCTCGCCCCCTCCGGCCGCCGCCGCGGCAAGCTCATCGCCGGCCAAATCATGGTAGAACATCCCGACAAGTTGGTGTGCAACTCGGAATCCTTCTTCCTCGGCCACCCGATCCCCGCCTTGTCCATCCACGACGAGCTCTTGCCCGGTCAAACCTACCTCGTCCTCCCCGTTGACCTCTTCGCTTGCACCAAAGTCCTAAGCGCTTCCTCTCTCGCCGCCTTCACCGCCGCTGCCGCCGGAAGCCCTAACAACAAGACCCCGCTGGTCAACGGCGGGTGCCAGCCGCTTCAGTACCTAAAAGGGTCAAACGGCGGCGTTTTGATCAAGGTGGCGCCCGAGTTTATGATCAGGCTCCTGTTGAAAGTTGGGAGAGATGAAAACGGTGAGGGGAGTAACGGTTTTTCTTTGTAGCACGCCGGAGCTGAAGAAGCATTACGATCAGCTGGTTGGGTGTAGAGAGCAAAAGTGGTCGCCGAAGGTGGAGACGATTTCGGAGTACAAAGTTCGGTACTCGCCGTGCCGGTTTATAGGGTTGGAGTGGAAGCAGAAAGAGGAACAGTATTGTTCATAGTGATATGATTAATGATTATCTTTTTTTTTTACCTCTTCTCTATGGCATGGTAATTCTGGTTTCCTATTTATACCGTGGATCTGCTTGTTTTTACCACATTTGGAATCGTTCTTAATTGATATTGTCAAAGTGTACAGCAAAGTGTAGAAAGACTTGTTATTAGGTAAGGTTGGTTAATTATAGATTTGTAGTGGTTGGACATAAATTTAAATGTACATTGAAGACTAAATATTATACGAATCGATGTATTCTACACAAAGAAAGCCAAAACCCTAGTAAATGACTAATTAATGTGCGTAATATTGTATGAACTCCATTACAACACGTGAAATTAATACTAATTCTCATTTTTGCACAACAATCGTGTGGTCCTCTTCTTCGTCATCTAAAATTAATACTAATTCTCATTTTTGCATAAATAACTCGTTTGGCAGCATTTTATTGAAATGAGTTATTTGGTTAGTGGTTTATTTACAAATAACTCAAAACAAGTTATTTTAATTTTTGAAATAACACTGAAATAACTTTTTTTTATCAACTCTGCTTTACCACTCATGTTATTTTGATTTTTGAAATAACTCGTTTTACTACTATGTTTTTGCCAAATACCATGTTTGTATATATTTCTATCAAACGAGATACTTCAATTACCATTGAAATAACACTAAATTATTACATGAACAATTAATGAGTCATTTGACTCTACAAATATCACATTGACAATTAATCCATCCAAAACAAAGATTATAGCATATTAATTTTCCTCAAGCTTCCCCCACACCACTTTGCTAGAAAGGGGAAGAAAACGTAGATAGAAACAGCCAACGTTACTAACGCAAAATTTGGAGAACTTCACCCAGTGACTATGGGAGTCTCTCTCTTACTTTAATTCAAAATTTGCTCTCATCTCTCTCTAACTTTTCCCTCGCTGTGAAGCTCTCCAAGGGTTGCCGCAAGCATCTCTTAGTGACCGGCGGTAGCCCATTGTCTTTTCCTTCTTCCTACTTCCTTTATTAGCTTTCTTGTCTCTGTTTTGATGTTTTTCACTCTGCTTTTCCTGCTTTTAAGCTTTTCAAGCCATTCTTGGCACTTTGCTCCCCTGTTCTAGGGGTTTTTTTCTGTGATTAGCTCTCATTGGGGGTTGGGTTATGCATTTTGGGTCTTCTCTCATGATGGTGGGTTTATCAGCTTGTGTGGTGAATCGATTCACTGGTTTTCCCCTTTGTTCTTCCCAGGTGGTTTTTTGCATCTTGGTGGCCGATGGAGGATGGACTGCGATGTCTAACCCTGATGCTCGTCGGTTCAGTTCTTCGATCTGGGGATCTGGGTTCTTCTGCTTCCCTTGCCCAAGCCTTGGAGCCTCGTCTTCCCCTGCCTTTTCAGCTCGGAGCATTTCGATACTCATCCCTGTCCACCTCCATTTAATCTCTCACCCGTGATTTACTGTGTTGAGCGTCTTCGAGCGACTCCCAGGAGGCGGCTAATGACATTGTGTTCAATCGTCATGGACTCGGTCGGATCGGTCGAGCTGATTGTGCTTGGTGCTACTTCGTTTGATTTGATTGTAAGAGAGCTTTCGGTGTTTACTGCTTTTGGTTCAAGTGTCTCAGATCCTTTGTTGGGTACTTTGGGTGGCTCCTTCTGGGTTTTGTGCTCTTCTTGTTGTATCTCTGAAGCACAGATTGAGCATCCATGTGCTTGAGTTTGTCTATCATTGTTCTGATTTTGGTTTGCTTTGTTGGTTCTCTTGTAATAGATCATTCAAAGTGCAATGCAAGTAATCCCTTTGTCAAAAAAAAAAAAAATACTAACGCAAAATACACACTGATTGGATGGTTTTCATTCAACGCCGACAAAATTTGACTCTTCCGCCTCTCTCTTTATCACGAGGCAACATCTATCTAGTTTTAAATTGTGTAACAATAATGAGCAAACCAAACTTATCTATGACCAAAAAAAAAGAGCAAACCAAACACCCAAAGATCTCCACAAAAGAAACAAATAAATACACACGGATTCGAGTAATGCTGATAACACTACTGATATTCAGAAAATTAAAGGCTATTGGAAGAAGATCTGGAGTCCACCTATTCATCCTAAAGTCAAAGTGTTTCTTTGGAAGATTAGCAGAGACACATTACCTATAGGGGCCATATTGCAAATCGAATCGAGGATGCTTCCCCTGACTGTTCGTTTTGTGGGTTTCCCGAAACCCAACTCCACTGCGTCAGGGAATGCGACTGGACTCGACGCCTCTGGTAGCAAAGGGAGGACTGTGAACTCTTCCGAAAAGGTGAGGGCTTGTCTGGTTGTGAATGGTTCTTCCGAGTCTTAGATACTCAATCGAATAAGGATCTCCAATAATTCTGCGCCATTCTTTGGTTTATCTGGAAAAGGAGATGCAACCATATGTTTAATAATAAAAAAACTTGAAGAGGAGGAAGCTATTTCGAAGGCAATTGCATGGATCAAAGATTACCTTCAAGCACAAAACATTTCAGAGGCGATGGGCGGACGAAGCACCCTTGATCAGGTTGTAAATGCTCGCCGACAGGGATCTACAAGATGAATAGTGATGCAGGGATTTTAAACCCTTCTGGGATTGGTCTGAGATGTATTTTCATGAATTGTGAAGGAAATTTTATGGGTGCTTTAGCTGGAAAGGAGAGGGGAAAGTCCAGACCGGTGGAGGCGGAGGCTAGGGTCATCACCCTTAGGTTGAGGGAAGCTAATCGGAGAGGATGGAGCCCCTTGATCGTTGAATCGGACTGCCTGAACTTGATAAAGCTTCTGAATGGTGAGGAAGAAGATTGTACTAAGTTGGGAATCTGGTGCAAAGAGATAAGAATTCTGACCGCAGTCAACTCTGCTTTGTCTGGTTGTAAAGTCAAATGGGCCTTTACTCCTAGAAAGTCCAATTCTGTGGCCCACTGTTTGGCTCACTTGGCTCCCCAGTAGGACCATACGGTTGTCTGGACTGAATTTCCTCCCAACCCCATCGGGAGCCAGTTAGAGGCTGAGAAAGCCCAAAATTTGGAGTAATTGAATGAACAGGTTTTCCTATAATAAAGTTGGTATGTGATGTTTAGTTGATCATATAATTTAACAAACTTCGTAAACTTCAGACAAAAAGTGTACATTTCAGCGTCCATGTCGTTGAATGATCTGCCCACACAGGGCCGACCCTGGAATATTGGAGGCTTGTTCTAGAAACAAAATGAGGCTCAATTTTTTTTATAAATTCAATAAAATAAAAATAATACATAATAATAATGAACGATGAACAAATGATGATAGAAACAGAAAAATAGGATACAAAAATGATAAATTAAGAGAGGGATCATTAGTCAAACAATATTAAAATTAAAAAAATGAAACCAAACAATAACTCAAGTGACAAGTCGTTAATTCCCAAAATCCATCTAAATAGATTTTGGTGAATCGATTAAGTCGAAGAGTAAAAGAACTTTTAAAGATACAAATACATACAAGACAAGAAAAATATTAGAAGAAGATAATTGATATTAAGAATGTGTTTTTTGTTGATAGATAATTGATAAAAACAAATATTAGAAAAATAATTGAATTTTTTAGTAAAAAAATTATTGTTGTTGCAAAATATTTATATTAAGAATGTGTTCGAAATAATTGATAATATTTTTTATTCTATTCCAAATAAACCATCTGGTAAGTGGTATCTCTTATTTTACTGTTGTTTTCAAAATAATAATAATAGTTGTGGATGAAAAAAATCTTAATGCATTTACTAATGTCGAGAAGTTACCAGAAATGATGTACAAATTAATAACCTTGTTTTATAATATTGCACACACAAAAAGCAACTTTTTACCTATTGTGAATCTTCCTCTTGGCGTTCAAGTACATTAATGAATTAAGTAATCAATTTTGTTTTATTTTCTTCCATTTTTGCTGGCGAGGCCCGTATAAGTCAAAATGCCCAAAATACTTATTAGTGTAATAACAACAAGTTGGGGTCCCTATTTTCTCTCAGGCTCTATGTTGGGGCCTGGGGGGCCTGACAGCACAAGCCCAGTGTCGGGCCTGTGCCCGCATTGTTGGAGGCATGCAACATCAACGCATAGCCTTCGTGGCCCCATTTTTTGCCCTCAAAGTTGCGAAGAATCTAGTAGTCCGTACGACGCTTTTTGATTATTCGTGTACTGAAGCCGACTATGAGTATGCAATGCTCATTGTTGTTCTGGACGCCCGGATCGGGTCCAGGATAAATGACTCCCTGTTTCAATAAGTATGTCATAATAACTAACGTTAGCAACCCACACAATCGAGCAGGTTGTCAGACGTCTTTTTTTTCAGGCGTCTCTTATGTTGATGGCTATCATTCCCGGTTGTTGGCGCACTAGCTGGAGAAGGGCCTCCTCGTCTTGTCTCCCATTCTGTATGTACCCTTCTACCAAAATCTGGACGTGGACTACGCGATAAACACTTGCCTACAACATCAAAAGAAACCACTATTATATACGTACGCAGGTGAATTCCCTTAATTAGGCCTAAAGAAAAAGCACTTACAAGATGACACTGCTCGTTGTGGTTGTAATCCCCACTTCGACTCAGGTCAGCCATCTTATCTATCTTCTCCTTCAGCGTCTTAAAGTCCCCAAAACCCCATGGTCTCCTTGCTCCGGGTGGCATCATCAATGAGTTCTTGAACAGCTAGGGCGGCGGGATGTAGGGGACGATGTAAGATGTTGAACGACGCTTCAAGAGCGAAAACCATTGTGTGACACACGCAAGTTTTTGGAACGCAAATCAAAGACAGATGTATACAATTAACATATTGATCAGAGGAAGGGCTTCATCA